TGGTTAAGGCTGCCAGAGCCCGGACTCCGGCTCCCACCGCGGGCATCCCTCCCAGCAGCTTCCTGCCGGCAGCCTTTGACCGGTTCCTGTCGGTGACCACCCCGCAGGCCTGGACGCCAGCACAGCCCCATCTGGTTTGAGTTACGCTCCGCGGCGGTGACGTCTCCTTCCTGTCTGGCCCCAGGAGCTGCGCGTAGCCCGGTCCCGGCCCTGGCCCCGGCCGGCCACAGGGGCTGCAGGGCCCTGCTGCAGGGTGGCCGTGGGGTTCCCAGATGGACTGTCGGCCCTGGACACTCCTGGCACCCCAAGCTGCTCTGGGGGATCAGTTCCTGCACAGGGCCCTGCGTGTGCACATCTGCGGCACAGGGATGCGCAGGCACCAGCACATCCCAGAGTGGGTGATTCTACCCCACAGCCCAGTTTGGCAGCTCCAGCCCCTTCTTTCCCACCATGGAACCACACAGGGACACCCATTGAGGTGGGATGAGTGGGGCCACAGTTCTGACACCCATGGAAGTAGATGTGATCCCATCCCCTGCTCCCAGCTGAGATGCAGGACAGTTTGTAAGGACCCAAAGCTCTGGGGAGTGGATTGGCCCTGCCAGGGCCGAGGGACACAGAGACAGGGCTGCACCTGGTCCAGCACAGGCCATGGCAGCCAGTTCCATCCCTCCTGCGTGGGGTCCATGTCACCCCCATGAATGCATGGCACAGTCTGGGTGTGCACGTGTGTGTCCACAGCGTCCATCCCCAGAGCCTGGAGCACCACACATTCCCCGTGTGGGCCTCTACCCCACCCCTGGGGCACCCACACTGCCAACAGAAACAAGGGGCCCTGCAGGCAGCACGGGGAGGGAGGAGGAGCGGGCAGTCCTCAGCAATGGCACCTGGCAGCACCAGCAGCAGCAGCAGCAGCAGGTTCTCCCCGTAACTGGGTGCAGCGCAGTCCTGACCACGGCACAGCCCAGGATGGGAGCGGGCGAGTGGGCAGAAGGCCAGGCCACCCACTGTGAGCCAGGACCGAGCCAGGAGCGAGCCAGGGAGGAGGCAGAGCTGGGGGAGCAGCAGGTCCATGAGCAGGAGTCAGGATGGGAGTGGGGAAGGGGAGCACCGGGACAGCACATGGCTCTGATCTGCACGCCCGGGTGGTGCAGGCTGTGAGGAACGGGGGTCCCCATCCCCCAGTCCGGGGTGGGCAATGGGATGCACCACACTGCTCCCAGCACAGGCACCCCGTCCTGGGCACCGCGTGAGGACAGGGCTGTGTGTTCCCAGCCGGGGCGGGCGATGGGCCCGGCCACGCTGCGTGGGAACCAGACGGCCCCTGGGCACGGCTGCGGCGTTCGCTTCCTCCCGCGCCCCCGGGGACCGCGCAAAGGAGGGGGCTGAGGTCAGCCGCGCTTGCCGCCGGCCGCTCCAGAGACGCCAGCATGATGTAGGCGCTCAAATATTGTTTTCCACTGGGTAGGGAAAAAAATAAAAGGGAGAAAAGAGAGGCCCAGGGTTGAGTGGCCGTCCTCGATGACGAAGGGCGGCCCCCCCCCTGCCCTGCCCGGGGCTGGGACACAGCCACGACCCAGCAGCAGCCGTCTGGGGGCTGATAACAGGGCTGACGCGGCCGCGGTGCTCCCGGTCCCCGAGTGACGGCAGTGTTGTGCCTCCGTGCCAGCGTGGCCCCTGCGGAGACCCCCAAGACTGGCCAAGCTGGGGTCCCGCTGGCCTTGGGGGGCCGGGGGAACTCTGCCACAAATCTGCTCCCCACAGCAGCATGGAGAGCTCCTGTCAGCCCTACGTCCTGAAGTTGGCTGTGCTGTGGGGTCCGGGCATTGCTGCTCCTGGGGAGCTCCCTGTCCCAGCCTGGAAGGAGTGCACAAGTACAGCCCCGCACTTTGCCAGCATCACTCTGGCCTTGCTCCAGTGCTGCAGAGGTGCTGACTTGGATGTTCCAGCAGCGTGTGGGAAGGGGCTGGTGGCCAGGTCCCATCCTGGGGCTGTATGAGGACCCCTGCCCATGCTTGTGTCCCACAGCCTGACTCACGGGGGCAGGTCCCTGTGCCCAGCCCGGTGTCAACAGCGGTGACTCAGCTGGTGCCTCCTCACTGGCAGCCGCCCGGGGTGATTCAGGTCAGAGGAATCCACTTTCCTGGTCGTTCCCACCAGAGCTGCAGCCCCTGGCACAGCCCATCTCTGGGGGTGTCCTGGCCTCGAGGTCTGGGGGGACTAGTTGGGGTCCCAGCCAGGCACTGGCTGAGCCACAAACAGAGAGAGAGAGGGGAGGAAGCCCTGACCTCCCACAGCAGAGCCCCCACACTGTGCCGCAACCCCCGGAGTCTCCCTGGCATCTCTCTGGGGTCACACTGGTGCATGAGCAGGGCCTCACAGTGAGGCTGGTGCCACTTGTGCCATGTGTGGCACCCAGGGTGAAGCCAGCCACCTGGAAGGGTCCCAGGCACAGGGACGTGACAACGAGGCTCCATTGGGGAATAACTTCTGTTGCAGCAGATTCCCCTGACCCCCAGGTAGAAGGTTCCTTCTACCATCCCTGCTACCAGGGGATGGGGCTTCAGAGGCTCCTGGCCCCAGATTGTGTCAGGATCTTTTCCCCAGTGTCTCCCAGAGACACACGACCTGGATGTAGGTGCCCTGACCAGGCCATGCCCTGTGTCCCCATGGCCTCACTGTCCAGCCAGTGGAGGGGCCAGCGGGGATGGGGGGTGTGCTGGGTGGCCTTGGGGATGTGTGCCCCCCAGCCAGCACCTGGGCTGAGGCAGAGGGTCCCCAGCTTGCCCCTGCCCACTGCCCACCTCGAGCGGGGCACAGAGACCACAGAGGCAGCATTGGGGAATGTGCTTTATTGGGTGCTGGCGTGTACCAGGGTGGGGAGTCCCTCACTCGAAGAAGAACATGCCGGGTGTCCGGTAGAGGCAGGGGGGCAGCCCCAGGGGGTAGCCATTACCCCCCTGCAGTGGGATCGCAGCCCCCGTCCCCCACGGCTCCTTCTGCTCGCCCGCCCGTGGCCCCACGGCCCCAAAGGGGGGCTGGCGGGGGGTGGTGGGGGCCGGGGGGGCTGCAGCCAGGAGATGCTCCAGCGCTGTGCCGCACGGCCGCTCCTTCATGCAGAAGCTCAGCGCCTGCACCCGGCACTGGTAGCTGCTGCCCAGCACCTCGGGCCCCGGCCGGCCGAAGGAGCCAAACACGGGCAGGGAGGGCTGCACGTAGCCCTCTCCCTCCAGGAAGCAGGATGGAGGAGGCTTGCCTGTGCCCAGGAGGGTGCCAGGGAATGCAGGTGGCACCTGCCCGAATGGCTGGCCTGTCCCCAGCCCGGGGGCAGCTGGCTCCTCGCCCTCCAGCTGCCCCGGGGGGGTGCCTGGTGTGGCCGGTGAGTCCTGTGGGGGGTCCCTGTGCTGGGTGGGCAGCAGGGCAGGCAGCAGGGCAGGGTGCTGGGCCGGGTGCTCGCCGGGCAGCGGGTACTGACCTGGACGAGGCAGTTGCAGTACTGCGGGGAGCCCCCCGAAGACAGTCTCCTTGGGTGGGCGGCTCTCGGGGGGTGCAAAGAATGGCCCTTTGGGCTGTGGAGTGTCCGGCAGGTACAGGCAGGGCTGCGTGGTCTTGGGTGGTTGACGCCGGGCACAGGGCTCAGCGCACCCCGACACCCCGGCACCCTCGGACAGCGTGGCAGGGCTTGGCAGGCGCCCCGTGGCTGCTGGTGACTTGTAGCCTCCCTCTGCCTTCCCCTCCTCAGGCAGCAGGGCAGCAGGCAGCCCCCGTGCCCGTTGCCTGGGGGTCTTCCCACGCCCCTCATCCCCCTCAGTACCTGGGGCATCCCGGAGGCCCCTCTTCCTGGTGAAGCGCCGGCGGCGCCGCAAGAAGCTGCCGTTCTCAAACATGTTGTAGCAGTCCGGGTCCAGGGTCCAGTAGTTGCCCTTGCCCGGCTTCTTGTCGTCGCGGGGCACCTTGACGAAGCACTCGTTGAGGGACAGGTTGTGGCGGATGCTGTTCTGCCAGCCCTGCTTGTTCTCGCGGTAGAAGGTGAAGCGGCCCATGATGTAGCGGTAGATGCCACTGAGGGTGATGCGCTGCTCGGGCGCGCTCTGGATGGCCATGGTGATGAGGGCAATGTAGCTGTAGGGTGGCTTGGTGGCCTCGGTGCTGGGGAAGGGGCCACCGGCTGGCTCAGGGGCTGATGGGCTGCGCAGCACCGCGTCGCTGACGGGGAGGTCCGGCTGCATCCTCCCGGCCAGCCGCTGCCGTTCCAGCCCTGCCGCTGATCCCGCTGATCCCGCTCTGCCGCACGGCCCCAGCACGGCCCGTTAAAACCCGCCGGCCGGCGAGGGGGCGGCGGGCCCCTCCTCTGAGGGGCCGCCCAGGGCGGAGCGGGGCTCCGCCGTCCAGCACTGGTCCCTGTGGACAGACGGACGGATGCGCCGCCAAGACCTGCGGCCGGCAGCCAGTGGCCCCGGGGCTGGCACAGCCGCAGCCTCCCCAGGGTAGAGGCGGGCACAGCCCCCGGCTCCCCCAGCCCCTTTTCCCACGGAAGGTTCCCACGACCTGTTTCTCATCCTGCCCTGCTCACAGTGCACCGCCGGGCTCCAGCTGGGCTCAGTGGGGGGATGCTGGCAGAGCTGAGGGTTCTGCCTGCCCTCAGATGCCCATCTGCCCCCTGCCCACCCCATTGCCTCAGCCCCTGCTCTCCTGTGTTGTGCCAGGTCCCTGCACCATTCCCAACCCTCAGGGTGCAGAATGGCCCTCAGGAGCCCACTCACTCCACTCACCAGGGGAAACTGAGGCACAGGCAGGGAGTGCCTTTGGGACAGGCTCCCATGTTGCCAGTTCAGCAGGGCAGCTAACGGGCACCTCGCTGCTGCCTTCAGCCCTGCCAAGGCGCTTACATGAGGGGCAGGATGGGTCTGGAGCCACCACATGAACAGGGCTGTTCCCTTGTGGCTTTGCCCACACTATGCAGACTTGGCTTCCCCAGCCACCTGTGCTCCCCTCATACTGGCACCAGTCCCCCACACTAGAGCCAGCCCCTGACACTGGTACCAAAACACAACCTTTATTTCTAAGTTTCACAAATGTCAAGTCCCAGCGGTGCAAGGATGGAGCCAGCTCTGCCCTGACTGGCTGAACAGGCACACAGCAAATCCCACCTGGGGACCTCCTGGGCAATAAATACAGCACTCACGAGGGCAGCAGTGCCCGCCCACCCTGGCCAGAACCCATCTGCATCTGGTTCCTCACGCTGAGCACCCCGTGCACTCTGCCTCGGGACACGCAGCTGGAGTAAGGCTGTGGGGCTCAGAGCCTCCTGCTCTGAGACCTTATGGTGACTGAGCTCTCCTCTCCTGCCCAGCTCAGGGCTGGCAGAGCTGTTTGAGGACATGAATAACGTGGCTGGAGGTGCCAGGGGCACAGGGCTGGGGGGAGTTGCGGAGCAGCGTTGGCCTCAAGCGCTGGGCGTGATGGAAGAGCTCCCGTGCGAACACCGGCTCCACCTGCAGAGGCACAGAGGGATGGAATAGGCACACGTCTGTATCCCCCACTGCAACAGTCCCGGTGCCTGGCTCAGGGTCACCAGCCCCGGTGTGTACTCACGTGGGCCATGATGAGCTTCTGGAAGGGGTGCCCGGCTCTGGTGGGGTATTCCTCCCCGAAGCACAGGTGGATCTGGTACTGCGGCATGAGCTGCCCATTGCTCAGGTACTCCCGCAGCTCTGCAAGACACCAACCCTGTCAGGGGTCAGTGGGTCCCCACGGCCTCGAGCAGCCATGCCAGGCCAGGACCTGCCCTGTTTCCCAAGGGGACTGGGATCTCCTGGGGTGGCGGGTGGGACTTACGCTGCAGGTACTGCTGCGTGTCCAGCAGCTTGTAGGTCTTCTCCCTCTCCAGCTTGTTGGGCCAGTTCCTGTGTGGGGCCAGTGGCCCGTTCCAGTACACCCTGCCCTGGCACTGGCGCTTCATGAAGACCCCCTCGGGCGCTACCCACAGCAGCACCCCGCGCTCCAGGTGGGGCAGGAGCCGCTCCAGCACGTTGGCCATGGCGGCCGCGTGGCCGTGGCCGCTGAGTGCCTGCGGCGGGGGGAACTCGATCTGCTCCATGCAGGAGGGGCCGTAGAGGCGCTCGCTGTCGGCCGGCACGGCACGGCTGGTGATGCGACAGCCCTCGGCCGTGCGGGTGGTCACCTCCTTCACCAGCACGTCGCAGTAGTAGAGGCGGATGTGGAGCCAGCAATCTGGGGCGAGGAGAGAGTCAGCCCATGGGCAGCCCGGGCTGGTGGGGTCACCCAAGGCATTGCCCACCAGTGTGGCTCCTACCTGAGTTGTTGACATCTTCCACAGGGAGGTAGGACTGGGGTCTAGGGAGGAACTGGCCATGGGTTGGGTTCCAGCTGTAGAAGACTCCCCTCACGAGGTACCCTAGACCAGGGCAGAGATGAGGCAGTAAAGGGCCATGGGCAGTTGTCCTCGAGGACTCCCAGGTGCTCTCCTGGCCTGGTGGGCAGCAGGGTCCTTTGCACCGTGTTTGCTCATTACTGGGCTTCATAAGAGCCCCGGAGTACGTGATTAAGTGGCTTTGCTGGGGCCAGGAGGGAGTCCCTGGCCCCTGTCTTCATCCCCACAGGTGTTGCCTGCACAGAGCAGGAGAGCAGGATCTCTCCTGCTGGGAATTGTGTGCTCCCTGCCCCCAGCCCCATCCTGTCAACGGGGACCCTCCTCACCTCTCTCAGTTGGACGGGCAGAGAGCAGGGGCTGTGGAGGTCCGTGGTCTGTCTCCAGTGTGTCTTTCTGGCTTTCCTCCTTCTTTGGACTCCCTGTAGTGCTGCCCTGGGGGTAGGAGTGGCTTCAGTGAGGGCTGAGCTGGCAGCAGGGGTCTCTGAACTGGCTCCTGCCTCTGCCATGGACCCCATGCACCAGCAGATCCCCTGCCAGAGTCTGGCAGCTGCATGGCACAAGGGACTCTCAGCAACGCCCCATGGGACAGACACGGGCAGTGTGCAGCCAGGAGAGCAGCTGACAGACGAGGGGAGTTTTGGGGGTCCCACCTTCTCCCCTGCCCGGATGGCACTGGGTGAGCTCACCTGCTGGTCCTCACTGCCTGGGGACTGGGTGTCACTGTCCTCTGCAGAGAGCAAGGAAAAACCGATGAGCCCCTGGCAAACAGCAGGAACAGCCCCAAGGAAGACAGGTGGCTGCCCAGGACACCCAGAGAGGAAGAGGAGTAGGAAGGAAGGGTGATGTCTGCAGGACACGGGGCTCGTACAGTCATGGTGCAGGCAGCAACCCCACATCTGGCACAAGAAGAGGGACAACAGGGACGTACCTGCATCACAGGCTCTGTCAGTCACGATCTGGTACACCTTGTAAGGCTCAGAGATATCCAGCTGGCTCCGCTCAGGCACCTCCTGGAAGTCGGTGCTCTTGTTGAGGGCACAGCGGAGACGAGTCTTCCAGGTGGAGGGATCAGCCTTGTCCGTCCCTTCCTGGTACTTCCCTTTGTAGATGGCCCAAGCCTGGGGGACAGAGGGTGCCCTGTGCTGCGGGGGCTGCCCACACCCTGGCCCCCCGCTCCGCTGCCCCAGGGGGCCCTCCGCGGTACGAATGCACCAGGGCTGGGGGGGACCGTGGGGAACCGGGGCTATGTGTCCTGGGGGGCTGTGGGGAGCTGGGTGCTGGGGGGTCCCAGGGGAGCACACGGAGCTGAGCAGCAGGGAGCCCCAGGCAATGATGAGCTCCGGGGGTGCTCACGGAGCCCCCGGGGGCGAGTCCCGGGGGCGCTCCCAGGGCCGGGTGGCGATCGCGGGGAGCCGGGGGTACCTTGAAGAGCGCGGCGTCCTGCTGCTGCCGGTAATCCTGCTTGGCCGCGTGCTTCCAGGGGATGCGGAAGAGCGTCCGGTGCCGGTTCTCCCAGCGCAGCCCCGGGTACCGGCCGCTGTCGATCTGCGCGATCAGCCACTCCTTCAGCCGCATGGGCGCCCCCGGCTCCGCCATCGCGGCCCGGCGGCGAAACCGAAAGCGGCTCCGGCTTTCACTTTCCTTTTCCCGGCCCACGCTGCCGGCTCTGGCTGCTCCACGACAGAGGGGACGGTTCTTAAATTTTTTCTTTGCGTCAGGTTTCCCGCAGCGGTGTCTGACATCCGAGTTCAGGAACAAGTGGTGCAGTAATTGAGCAGTACAGCTGTGGGACTCCGGGAGGGACCCCCAACAAAGGCATCTCGGGGGTTTCATGCCCTCACAGTCAGTGCACCCATGTACACCAATGGAGATTTTAGGCTCTTTCTGTTGCTCATTGGCTCCTGCAGAGTCCTGGGTGATCGACCTCCAGCCCGGCCTGTGCTGCAGGTGGAGGGAAGGGGTGGGTGCCCATTCCCTGCTGTTGCCTAAGGCTCAGCCTTTTCCTGTCACCCAGAACACAATGTGCAGCTCGTGCTGGTAGTTTACATACCTAGATATTCGCACTAGGTGTATTTCTCAACACAGGCACCCTGCACCCACAGAGGAGGGGACAGGCACACTGCATCCATGAGAGAGGGGATAGGGCACTAGAAAGCACGTGGAACTCCCCTGTACCCCCCTGTACCCCTCCCGTGTGCCTTCCCTTAGACTTTTAGGACTCTCACTTGCTCCCCAAAGAGGGCAAGGGACCCTGCTCCCCCATCCTCCTGCTTTGAGGATCCAAACACCTCCCAGCCCCAGGGACTGTGTCCTCCCTGGGATCAGCAGGTCATCCCGCGAGTGTGGGGAGCTGTGGGAACAGCACGGGGTTTCCAGGGTGGTGTGAGCAGTCACATGTTCCCATCTCTCAGATCTCTCCTCTGTTCTTATCTGTCTCTGCTAACGTCTGTCTTGCGGGGCTCTGCGCCCTGAGTGGAACAGGAACAGGGTGGGAAGGGCGGATGAGCTGCACCAAGGGCTGCCGGGGCCGGGGAGGAAGCCTGACTCATCCTGCACCAGCTCCCTGCTGGCCCCCAGCAGGGCACGGGCTGGGTCACTGGACCACCCTGTGGTGACACTAGTCTTGGCTCCTCCATCACTGCTGCAGAGCCCCATGTCACTGTGCAGCAAAACCCAGCTCCTCTGCCCTGCTGCAGCCCCCCAGGCCACCTTTTGCAGCCCCTCAGGTCCTTTTTCCAGCTCTGAGTCAGAGAAATTCACCTCTCGCAGGGAGGAGAAAGGAGGCTCCTGAGAGCTGCTGGGGCTGCAAAGTCTCCAAATGAATAATCAGCAGCAGAGCGCCCCGGCTCGGGCTTTCCAAAAGGACGTGGGGATGGGACATGGCCACGTGGCACAGAGGGCACATGGGGCCACGGCGGGTGTATGACCCAGCCACACAGGCAGGGGTTTTCTCTCCTTACTGAGCCTGTCCGGGGCCCCTCTGATGCAGAGCAAAGCCCAGGCAGCCCCTGCACCTCTCTGCTGGGCGTGCCGGGGGGCCACATTCCGGGAAAAGGGCCTGGGACTGACGGCCAGAGAACCCACACGTCCCCTTTCTGCCTTGGGAAGTGGAGCAATGGCAAGGGGTCATTGCACAGCCTCTCAGTGGCTTGCACAGATTACATTCAAGGCCGGGAGATAATCACAGCCGCCGGCTCTTTTGCCAGCCCCGGCCCCCTGGGATAAGCTTTATCGGCCGGGGATTTCATGTGCTGTGACAGCCGCGTGGTGACGCGGGACCCGGGGGATCTAATTACCCGGGCATCAGCGAGGAGGATCAGGAGCCGGATTCCACACCGGATTCCCCACTGTGCTGCTCCCTGCTCGGGGAAGGTGAAGCTGCTTAACCCTTAAACTTTTCACGCAGAAATGAGCTTCAAAAAGGAGTCAAACATTAACTCATGGCTAACCCTGCCCTCGCCCGGGGTTTTCCAAGTTGTGCAAACCAGATCTGCCAAAATAAATACATTTTGCTGTGCTGCTGAGCTGGGCTGGAGGGGCCACAGCCCTGTGTTTACAGTGGGAACAGGGGAATCCCTGCGTGTAAACACCTTGGCATAGCGTGTCCCAGCATGGGAGGGTGCAGCTGTGCATGAGGCACACATCCATCCCAGGTGTGTGGTCCTGGGGTGCAGGGGGGGCCAAAGGGTGCCAGAGAGCCCTGGCCTGGAAGCAAGGGAATTGGAATAGCAGCCTGGCAGGAGCTGGGAGGAGAGGGGGACCCCACACCAGGACCTTCCTCCTCAGCATCCCTATTCCAACCCAGCCACCACAGGGGAGTCAGACCGCAGAGAAGGGGCGTTTATTACTCGGGGACATAGAAAGTCTTTAAGCAAAATGGCTTAAGGCTCTAGTGAGGTCTGGCCAGGTTAAACACTTGGTTCCCACCTGTTGCAGATTGTGCCCTGGAATGGGCAGGAATGGGGTGCAATGGATTCCTAAAGCTACAGTGCTTGCTCAGGGCTTGTGCTTGGCCAGGTTTGAGCTGGACCCTCACCTAGGAGCCAGTGTGGTGGCATTACCTGCTGACACACCGGTGTGTCCCTGCTCTGCAGCCACCTGAGCGCTGGGAGCTTGTGCTGCTGGTGGGAAAACTGCTCTGAGGGGAGCGCCAGCTCTCCTGCACCCTGTGCACCCTGAGGCCTGTGCAGTGGGTACCCAAGTGCTAAAGCTGCTGCTGGCAACACCTGGGTGCTGGCCTGTGGTAGGAGAGACCCCCTCTGTGTTCTGGCCCGAGCCTGCAGTGACTTGGGGGCAGAGACCCACGTCCCCAGCATGCCAGATGCAAAGAGGATGAGCCCAGCATGTGCTGCAAAGTCCAGCAGTGCCCATGAACCCCACCCACACAGAGTGTGGCATGCTCCCAGCCCAGAAGAGAAGAAGGAGATGGGCTTGGTGCAGGTCCCTGCCCAGCGCTCCTCATCCCACTGTGTTGTGTCCTTCATCTCTCCCAGGCTGTTGGGTGATTCTCGCTGCTCTCCCTTGGCTGGGGTCACTTCAGACAAGCTGGGATGCAGGAGAACGTCCTCTTCACCCGCAGCAGGAAGGGACTTGTGCTTCTGATGTCTCTGGCTCTTGGGACCAGTCCTTGCTGAGCTCCCTCTGTCCTGGATGTTCCTTCTCTCCCTGCTGGCAGCAAGGCCTTTATTTCTTCCTCATCATTGAAAGGGGACGTCCCATACCTCTGCTTCAGGTGCCTGCGGACCTGGGGAAGGAGCAAGAAGCAAAATAAGGTGCCAGTTTCCAAGGGCAGGTCCAAGCCTGCCAGAAAAGGGAGTGGGGAAGAAACGGAGTCCCCTCAGGACCTGTCCTTGCTCTGAGGCCCATGGCAGGCTCAGCAGAGCACAGGTGGCAGAAGTTGGTCCCACCTTGCGGGCTGCGCTGCCACCAAACTCAGACAGCTGCTGCCTGAAGCCAGGGTTGGGGTTGGCGACGGGCCGGATGGTTCTGATGGCATCCAGCACCTCCTGGCAGCTCAGCTCCGTGACGACCATGACGTACGCAACGACCACGGTGGTACTGCGGGAGATGCCAGCGAGGCTGGCGAGGGAAAGTGCAGAAGGGCTTGGGTTGGTGGCGCACCCTGAACCCACACTCCCCTCTTCCTCCACCCCTGTGCCTCAGTTATTGCAGTTCCTCTTTTCCAAGGACTTGCTCTCCCGGAGGTCTGAGCCCTTCCAAGGTCCTGGCCATCAGTGCCTATAAATACCCACTCCTCCCCAGGGAATGGGAGCAGCGGCCGCTGCCTGGCTGCCTGCCCCAAACCTCGCTCATCCCACATGCTCAGCTGCAGCAAGAAACTGCCCTGGCTCCAGGACTGCCTGCATCCCGCTGGATTTGAGTCACAAGCTGCAGCCGAGGGTGGATCCTGGGTGGATCTGTGGGCACGGAGCCCTCTGGCACAGGCTGGCTTTGATCAGGGGTCTGCAGCCCAAGTGAGGGGCTGGATCTCTGCTGAGCTGAGGAAACACAGCAGCAGGCATGGGGGAAGAAGCATTACCAGTGGACGAGGCAGTTCCCTCCATGCAGGCGACACTGGTGGATAAAACTGATGCATTCCTTGAAGTGCCTCTTGCTAGCAGGAAAAATAAAACAGACAGAATAAGAACTTCAGGGGTGGAACAGGATTTTTGGCCAGAGGCAGAGCAGCCCTGTGTGTTTGAGTTGCTTTAGGGGCTCTGCCAGCCACTGCTGAGACCTGAGCAGCTCAGTGCTGTTGATTCCCAAGGGAAGGTGGGTCTACCAGCTCATGCCGTGCTGGGAACGCAGCAGGGGACACTGTGCTGGGGACGGGGCTGCCCTGTGACTCATGTGACTTGTGCTGGGGCAGTGGGATGTTGGCTGTTCACACCTTCAGCCACTCCAGCAGCCTTGGCTGGCTCCTTACCCTTTACCTGCTCTTCCCCCTCCAGGCAACTCCCAGGAGGGTGCTTGCTGCTCCTGTCCATGGGTGCTGCAGAGGGGCTGCCCATTTCCTCACCACAGGGCTTAGAGCCATTCACAGTGGTCACTGAACTGGGATGCTGTCGGGGTCCAGGGGTGGTCCCCAGCACTGCAGCATCACACCTTTAGCCTGTGGGTTGCTGTGCTTGAGGAGCTGGAGGCAGCACCTCAAGGGCTTGGGGTGCTGTGAGCCCTCACCCCTGGTTGCCCTGCAGACCCCAGCCCTTGAACATTCCTTGGCCTCCTCAGAGTACTCACATGTTGGCCTCAGGGGTGTCAGGCAGGGGGATGCGGAGGTAGGTAATATCCTGGAAGATACAACAGGAAGAGGAAAAGCTCAGGCACTGTAGTCAGGGTGTCATATATGCTCACAGCTGGGCTGGCAGCACCTTTGCTCCTCACCCAGAGCTGCCTGTGGAGTTTCACTCCCCCCACACAGCATCCCCCTACGTGGGGATGAGGCCATACTCTCCCCTGGGTGAGGGGGAGGGCAGGGGGACACCGGCAACTCGTGGGAGGGGATGGGAAACAAGATGAGGCTGGAAAGCTGGAAATTGTTTCCTGTCAGTGTTCAAGGCCGGGTTATAGTCACAAGCCAGTTTCCCATGCCGAGGGGGCTGTCCAGCTCCTCTGGGAGCAGTGACCAGGGAGAGGTGTACGTGCCATGTGATGCTCAGAGGGGGAAGGAAGATGCAGCATGGAAGGAGCTGCAGGGGTCTACACGGTGGTATTGGGTGCAGGATCCTACCTTCAGCAGGGGCTGGGGGGATTCATGGATCGAAACGATGTGGGTGATCTTGTTCCGGCTTAGCTGCTCCAGGTCTTTGGCATCTAAAGGATAAAATTAGATACCAACACGTATTCATTTCTTACCCTTCTCTTCCCACAGTGCACCCACCATGCTCCTGCAGCCAGCCAGCACTCAGAGCCTTTCCCCAGCAGATCAACTGCATCCCACCCCCACGTGCAGCAGCGCAGACGTGGGCAAACACGGAAATCTGGAATGCAAACCCCGTGATCCCAAACCACAGGCCTCTCCCTGTAAAGGCACTTGCCCTCGCTGCTCATGCTGGGGGAAGCATTCACACCTGCAGAGAAACACTGTGGCAGTGTCCCTCCTGCCTGTACTTGTCCCCAGTTTGGGAGGAGAATTGTGCCCTGCCTGCACCTCCCTGGGCAGACACACCCGGCACTGGGACTTGCTGCAGCCTGAGGGATCTGCTTTGTCTTGTGAATTATGGAAGTGGAGCTGCAGCAATTCATATCAACTCTTGGTTTTCTGTAGAAAACACATGAGCAGTCACTTGCAGTGCTCTGGTGTGTCCTCTCTGCAGCCATAAGAACAGGAATGGGGGGTCCTCAGCTGTCTGGGGGGAATATGCCCTGCCTCTCAGTAACCCTTCAGCACCCTCGCCATGATCCTGGTCTCTGGTGCAGCACAACAGTTATTGTGCTGGGAGGGGAGCATGCTTGTCTTCCTGGGCAACTTGCAAGTGTCTCCCTTTCATGCCATGACCAGCGGACGCTGCAAGAGTGGCCAAAGAGGAGGAGGAACATTTGCCCATCTCATTCCTTCGGGTTTCTGAACTTTCACGTGGTGTAAAACCTTGGCTCAGGAATCCAGACCGTGATGTGCTAACGGCATGATGTGAATTTTAATAGGAGTGAGTCTCGAGGGAGACACTCTGTGGGGGAGCTGTGCTGTGCATGTGGGGAGGGATGTGGGGACCCTTATGGGGTCTCACACAGCACCCACCACCTTCCCATCTTCCTCAGCAGGCAGCGACAGCAAGTAGTGACACTGGAATCAAGGCTTACAGGGGCTGGAAAAGCTTCCAGTTAGAGAAAACATCTCTGTGAGCTTAATGTTGCGGGCCTGGAATCTTGTTGTCACCCTGGATTGCTTGGCAGAGCGATGCTCAGGTGGCATCAGGCCAAGACCCCACAGCAGAGCTGCTCACAGGAGCCCCCATGATGAACTTGGGAGCTGGGTACCTTTGTCCCTCTGCTCCCAGCAAGCCACAGCCCACCCCAAGGTGCTCCATGGGGTGCAGGGAGTACAGGGCTGCCATTCCAGTGACATTTCCTTAGCAATTTCACACCAGTGGTTTTAAACTTTCCCAGAGCTTACTGCAGGAATCAAGCTGCCAAAGGACCCATGAGGGAGGTGGGAGTACCAATAAATGCTGTTTTTTCATGGCAGATGCCAAGCCTTGGTCATGAATTGTTCCCTGGTAATGAAAACCCCTTAAAATAGTGACTTGGTGTGAGAAGGGGCGATTCTGCCTCTGGGAGAAATTCCCTCCTGAGGGTGGGCAGCTCCCTCTTGCCTCCTATAGCTGTGAAACTGGGGAGCATCACCCTGAGGTGCCCCAGTCCTGCTTCCTCGCACTGGTGTGGCACCACCAGCTCCTCTGCTCCTGGCACAGGATCCATTTCCCCCCACTTTGGCCCCTTCACCCTGTGTGTCCGAAGAGCTCAAGGCAGCCTTTAAATCAGGAAACCATACAAAGGCAGAGGGGCTCTGCCTTGCATTCCCCACAATGCTTCCAATCCACTGCTGCCACCCCAAACCAGGCAGCAGAGCAGAGCGGGTGGTGGGTGCAGGCAGGGCAGCAGGAACAGGCAGAGCAGTGGGAGCAGGCAGGGTGTCAGGCAGAGTTTGCAGGCAGGGAGACAGCAACTCAAGCAAGCCCCACTCCCCAGCTGGAGGACATCTCTGCAGCATCTGGGTTCCGCTTACCAACAAAGTTCCCAAGGTAGAGGCCAGGAAGGATCTGTGGAACACAAGGGGAAGTGGCAGCGTGAGCAGTGACCTTGTGCTGAGGTACCCAGTGTGCTACCCCCTCTGGGAAGCAGCAACCTTGGCTGGAGGAGCCAAAGTTCTGGTGTTTGAGGTGACCATCACCAGCCCCAGGGCAGGAATGGTGCTGGTGCATTCCCAGGGCTGATTCTGCCCTGGCATCCAGGACACAGGGCTGGATGTAACCCTGGCACCTGCAACCATCTGATGCTGCACCCTCATGGGTGCTGGCAGTCAGACATAGAGTTTTTTATTGCTCCTCTTGTTTATCATCAATAAATCCACCGTTGGGGTTTATTACCTGAGCTCAGCAAGTTGCATACACCTCTGTACAGCCTTGGACTATACCCATGACCTGTGTAAATCCTGCTGCCTGAGAGTTAGGAAAGCAACAGGCACAGAGAAGCTTGGGGGGATTTGGCTGTCCCCCTCCCAGCCCCAAGCTCTGTTCCCCACACTCTGCACTGCAGGGAGCCCATTTCTCACAGCCCAGGCACAGATTGCTCTGGACACCGTGCCTTCAGCTCATTTTCCCCTGGGAAATTCCACTTCTCATAATGAAAGGATAATTACTTGACAAGGCCTCTATTAACAGCATTGCAGATGCAGAAGCAGGACACCTTGCAACCCTTCTGACACAGAGCTGTTTTATATTCTCCCTCACTCACAGCCTGGGCAGTGAAGGGCTGTTCAATCCTGTATCCAGCTGGTTCTCCCCCAGCTTCTCCCTGCAGCAACGTTTGGTGCCCAGGGCAGGTGGAGGTGATTTCCATCAGCACAGCTGGGCTCACACTTGTCTCATTGCTCACATTTGGAAATGCTTCTCTCGGCTGAACAGCTTAAAGAGGTTTGGGGTTTTTTATGATTCCTAAGATTTTAGATCCATTTTCTACCGATGGGGTGCCTTTAACTCACAGCTGCGGCACTGAGAGGAGCGGGTGGGAGAGAGCCAGTTAGCAAGGGCAGCTCCCAAGGGCAGGGCACTGAACCATGAATAAACAGCACGTGTCTGTCCCCAGCACCCTGCTGACCCACTCCTCGCAGGAGAAAACGGGGCAGCACATAAATAAAATAGTGCCCATCCCCTCTGCCCAGTGACGCCAAGCCCCACGCACAGCCCAGCCCTACTAAGCAGGGGGTGTGGGACCACCAGGCTCGGGGTCTCACAGGGCTCCCGGTGTGTACTTGGAGCTGTTCCTTGGGGTTAAGGCTGTTGGGAAAGGTTCCACCCTCCCTCGAAGGGGCTCGCTGTGACCCCTGCCCTCCACACCCCCTAAACAGCGGTCGGGACGGGCCCTGGTGCAGTGTCCCGGTCTGTTTCTTCTCCGGTTTTACCCGCTCTGTTGGCAGGTAAACAAGCTGCCTGAGAGCCGAGCTCTGTGCCGGATCCCGTGCCGGGAGGTGAAACGCCGCTTGGCAGGGCAGGGGCAGCAGCCAGGTGAGGGTCTCCCACCGCCGGCCCCGGCCGGACTGCGGAGCAGCCGCCCCCGCGCCCCCCATTACCTGGCTCATGCCGTTCCCCATGGCCGACCGCGGGCGCCGGGGGAGGGCACGGGGCGCGAGTGTCCTTGTCCCCAGTGCTGCCGTCCTCCCCGTCCCCGGGCGCGGCTGCCGTCCCCGCTCCCTGGTCGGGTTTCCGTCATGAAGAGCTCGGTTCCTCCGGGGTCGCTGCTCGTTGCCAGCGCGGCGGGGCCGGGCCGGTGGCTGTGCCGGGGCGGAGGGGACCGCGGCCGCCGTGCTCCGCGGATCCTGCCGAGGCCCTTCCCCGGCTGCTCCGCCGCTGCCGCGCACCGGCTGCTGCCTGGCCGGGAGCAGACAAAGGAGGAGAAACTCCCCCCCTCCGCCGTGGCGTGGGAGCACGGGGCCGCGCTGGCTGCTGCCTGTCGCCGCTGCCCGCGGCCGCACAAGGCTGCACTGTTGGGAGAAGAACAAAACCTTTGTCCTGCTCCATCAAGGAAGGTCTGTGCGGCCACGCGGCGAAGCGCCCGGCAGCATGCCCACCCCTGCCCACGCCGTGCCCACCCCTGCCTGCGCCATACCTACCCCTGCCCTGCCCGCATCGCGCCCACCCCTGCCTGCGCCCTACCTACCCTTGTCCTGCCTTCTCCGTGCCCACCCCTGCCCGCTCCGTGCCCACCCTGCCCGTGCCCACCTGCAGGCAGGTGCCGCAGAGTCCCTGCCTTGCCTGGGGCGCTGCGCGACCGTCCCGGCGACTTTGCAGGGCAGAGGGATGGGCAGTGCCAGCGGGGCCAGGGGCGAGGGGTTCCCGCTGCCCGTCACCAGCCGCCGCAGCGCTCAGGGGGGGTCGGGCCGAGGGTGCCCCGGGGGGCTCGGGGCGGACCGGGGGGTTCGGGCCGGTTTTGGGGGGGCGGTGTCGGGGTTCGGGTGCCGCGCGCGCCCCCTGGCGCACGGCGGCGCGGTTGCCATGGGGACGGGATGGAAGGGGTGGGGGGGATGTGTCGGGGGTCGCAGCCCAGCCCGGGGGGCTCCCGGGGGGCTCCCAGTGCTGTATCCCCGCTCCTGCACATCCCCCGGGCAGCGTGGTAAGGCCCAGCTGCTCCCTGTGCAGCACAGCCCTCCTCCCTCCTTCCCCAGCCCTGTGTGGGGAGTATCCTTGATAGCTATGGGCAAGTTTAGGTGCAACACGTAACACAGAATCACAGAATTAATTAGGTTGGAAAAGGCTTCTGAGATCGTCAAGTCCAACCGATGACCAAACACCACCACATCAGCTAGACTGTGGCACTCAATGCCATGTCCAGTCTTTCCTTAGGTGCCACCAAGGACGGCGGCTCCACCACCTCCATGGGCAGCCTGTTCCAATGTCTAATCGCCTTTTCTGTGAAGAAATTCCTCCTAATGTCCAACCTAAACCTCCCCTGCCACAGCCCTGTCCTGTCCTGGGTGTTGTGTCCCTGCAGCATGGCAGCTGAGCAGGATGTGATCCCGCTAGGAGCCCTCACCCTCACCAGCCACGGCATTTGAGCAACCTGGTCTAGTGGAAAGTGTCCCTGCCCATGGCAGGGGGTTGGAAGGGGATGGTCTTCAAGGTCCCTTCCAACCCAAACCGTCTGTGACTCTGTGAATGGAGTCTGAGGGTGGTTTGTAATGCTGGGCTGACACCTGTGGTGGTCCAGGAGTGGTGGGGCCGGGCTGCTGTAGGGTTCCTGTGGGCAACTGCCTGCCCTGGAGAGGTGGGTGCTGGCTGCATGGAAAAGCTACAGTAGGAATAGTAGAACATGGATTGTAAGACCTGCTCTATTCTAGCTCCCCATGTTCATGCAGAGAGACAGAAAATCGAAATTGAGCCTCCTCCTTCACAAAGAAAAAGCGTTTCTCAATGGTATCCCTATTTATTTATTTTTCCCCTCAGAGTATGTGGTGCAGTTGGTCCCCAGAAACTTCTCGAGGGTAATTAAAGTGAGTCAGACTGTGGGAGCATTTGTTGTGCTGAATCTTATATTTCTCTTTCTACCCAGCTGAGTCAGAACAGCTGCTTAGCAAAAGATCTGAAGAGGTTTTGGAAGCAGTTAGAAAAAGAAGCAGGAAAGCCTGAGGCAAGAAAATGTGCCTTTATTCTGAAGACCCTGAAAATGCCTTCAGAGTACTACTTGTTTGTGGAAGCATTTTGCAAGAACCCTGGCATCACTTGGGTTATGAAGCTGGTAAGTGTGTGCTTTCCCAAGGAAAGTGAGAGATGAATGGATGCCTTCGTTCTGCGGAGGGAGAGGAAAATATGCAGGAAACCCGCAGGAAGAACTGGGCAAAGCAAGGTGCCATGGAGCAGCAGTGCTCCTGGCCAGGTTCCTGGTCAACATGTACCACCAAAACACTGCTTCTTGTGTAACAGTTTATTTCAGCAGCGGAAAGTCATCTCAGTTTATTTGCAGAGCCAAAGTTAACTCAGTGGTGAGGGTATAAAGTGCAGAGCTTGGTGTGGAGGAACAGAGTGTGCTCCCGGAGGTTCTGGCCGAGTTCATGCTCTGAAATCTTTCAGTTCTGCTGCAGGTGTGCAAGAAGGTGTGTGTGTGGGGGGAGTGTGCAGAGCAGGTGGTTAATTTGGCTTCTGGTTAATGAGCATTAGCCCCTAAAGAGGGATCTATGAAAACATCTGTTTGGTTTTAGGGAAATCCCACTGCATTAGATGTCAGCCAGTGTAAGTCTGGCGTAAGCTTACTGAGTGGAATTCTATCCTGAGAATGTGAAGACATTAAAAGAGACTCATTATCAGAGAATCTCAGGAAGGTTTGGGTTGGAAGGGACCTTAAAAACCATCTTGTACCAACCTCCTTCTACCAGACCAGGTTGCTCCAAGCCCTGTCCAACCTGGCCTTGGACACTTCCAGGGATGGGACATCCATTAGCAGCCTGGAGCACAAGCTGGGGTAGGTTTGGTTGGAATGAGCTTCTCTCTGCTCTGAAGTTAGAGACATGAAGGGCAGCCTTGTGCTCTAAATCACGTTTGTCCCCCCAGACCTACAGCTGCCTGGAGCTGTGCTGAACACACCAAGTTCCACTTCAGCCAGTGACCTGGGGATTAAGGAAAAATTGTGCTTCCTTTAGAAATTCCGACAGTACAAAGTGACACTGAGAAATGCCTTTGCTTCTGCTGGAGGCTTCAAGCCATTTAATGTCTTGAATGTTGTGCCACGGTGCCTAATTTAAAACACACCCATCCGTGAGCCCTGTGAGTGAGCAGTCCCTGTGCTTTGTGCAGCAGGTCTGGCGAGGAGGCTGGGACAGGAGGATTTGTCTTACCCTTGTGAGAAGTGACTGGGAGGTAATTATGCAAACTAACATGTGAATTACAGCCGGGAGGATAGCAGCTAGTGATTATCTAACTCTACAAATGGGAATGTGTTAATTGGCAACAAAACCCTTATATTAAGCTGATGTTATGCCCCACAACCTCAATTAACACGGTAAATAACCAGAACACAGTAAACAAGGATATATGAAAAGCCTGTGATTACTGAAATTATACCAACAACATAAACAGTTTGTGGCTGACCTCAAAACTTGCAGGCAAGTAAAAATAAACCTCATGTTACTCCTTCTGGTGTTGTGACGTCCCGAGTTACCCACTCCCACCCTCGGAGGCAGTAGTAGGTCAGGACATGCCCAATGTTGCATCCTGGGGCTGCAGGAAGCAGGACCTGTTTTGGAAGGTGTTCCTGGGGAGCTGCTCCTCGGGTGCCTTATCCAGGCCACTCCTCACCCTCTTTTGTACAACCTGCAGTCAAGGCTCTCTTCAGGATTTTTCTGCTCTTGTTTGCCATAGTTCCCCGATATCTTTCTTGACTTTCCTGTTTAATTAAGTTCTTCTATAACATACACAAATTTAAAATGGGACTTAAAATTCCCAACAACATATGTTGCGTTACGTATATTTCTGGAAGCGCGTGACAGAGTTTGTTTATTCGGTGCTGTGGGACTTCCCCATAGGCTGCCTTTCCTCCAGGAATCCTCCAAACACAAATCTGAGCTTTTTTTGTTGGATTCCCCTGCCCCCATAAACTTAAATAAACGTGCTTGCACACAAACAGCTGATGAATCAGGTTATGCAGGGCTTCTGCTCTGAAATTCTGGGAAGCCGCAGGAATTGCTAATGTTCATGCCACTAACTCTGCTCTTCCATCTGTAGGCTGGCAAGTCACAAGGTGAGGAAATGTTCCTGAAAACTGAAGGATGTAATTGATTGAAGAAGGTGAGAATGACTCTGTCTCTTCTTTGGGAATATTTGAAGGGCATTTTGTTCTTTTTGCTTTTATTTCATCCTCTCCTTCTGCCAGTGACTTGGTCTGTTCTCCTGTGCCCTTCTGCTGCAATATTCCTTCACTATTCCCCAGGGCAACAACAAAGGCTTTTACAGTGGATTTTGCAAAATAGATACTTGCTCTGGGATCTACTTCTCACACTTCGTGTAGGTATTTAGATACAAACTTTCAATCTCAGGTACATCTAACACCAGGCAGAAACTGGGTTATATTCTACATTTATATATATAATATAAATATATTTTATATATAATACACAAATATTTTATAATATATTTGTACTGTACATTCTTGGGGTGGTCGTGCACAGCACCAAGAGCTGGACTTTGATTCTTGTAGGTCCTTTTCAACTTGGGATTTTCTGTGATTCTAAGATTTCTCTCCGCTTCACAGGTTGGAAGTTTGACATGAGACTTTATGTTCCAGCGAACAGCTGTAAGTGCAAACCACCATTATTATGCCAGAAATGGATTTCCTTCACTTAATGCCCAGTTGCTCTTTTCCTCTTCTCCCAGTACACTCCTCTGAAGGCCTGGTTATGCTGAGGTGGATTTGCTTGCTTTTCTGATGCAGGATTTACTCAGAGCAGCAGAGGTGATTGCTGTATCCTGCCTGTGCCATACAGAAGGGTAAGAAAAGGACTGTACAGTTTTACTGCCTGGTATTAGACACATCAGATGAACTTTGTCACTTCCAGCTCCTGCAAACACCTACAGGACTCGGCTGTCCCATCGCTGCTGTTGTCACCCTGTCTCTCTCCAGTCCTTTTTCACTGGAAAACTGGTGTCACCAGATCACTGGAAATGTCAGTTTGACAAATCAGCTCAGAAAAAAGCTGAAATGTCACTCCTGGTTTTA